GACATACAAATTGTCTACAAATTTTATATTGATGTAATGATTGTTGCTTCATGTCAAAACAATGATGAACAAATTGATGATTATAATTTGGCATGAATGTTCCTAACAGCACATGTAGATTCCGCAAATGTTCCGAGAATATCACGAAAGTATATTGCGTATATTCTAGGAACATTCGAAATACGTACTACGATATGCTAAGTATATACTAAGAATGCTACTATATCCGAGTTTTCCTATTTCTTAGTACATACTGAGAACATCTTTTAGTATATCTACAGAATGTCCTGAGTATGTCATTAGTACATGTATATTATATATTCAAGACATTCTATATATGTATATACTTCTATTTCCTACATTTTTATATACATATATATATAAATAAAAGGATTTATATATATTATCGAAAACACTTCAAACCGTTTTTGTTTGCATACGATTTACTTAATTACAAAGTAAATGTACAAGTTTTAACTTACGTTTGAATTTTTACAAAGATGCAAACAAAACGAATTTGAATCATTTACGATAACATACCAATGATTGTATTAATATTGGTTTTATAAAAATTATACTTTTAATTAATAATTATACTTTTAATTAATTTTCATGTTACAGATTGCACATATATATATATTTGGACATGTATGCATATGTTGTAATTTTATAATAATTTTAGACATTAGAAATACAGATACAAATATAAAAATAGAAAAACGAATAGAAAAACAATAATTATAAACATTGAATCTTATACATTGTAATTTAATAAAGCCATATAATTAAAAAAAAACTTGGCTAATCAGACGGCCAATGCTTGCAATATACAAACTATAAAAAATAATTAGAGAAAATTGTAAAAAGAGAATTTTGAAACAATTCCGTAAGTTCAAATAAAATTCCATGAAAAATACCTGAGTTTGTAAGGTAAAACAATGTTTGAAAAAAATGTTAGAAGTTTTCTAGTCTTTTCCACAGACATTGTGGTTAAACACTAGTTTATTTAAACTGTACTCTCTCGGCTGTGGATAATTGATCCCTTTCTAAGGGGATTCTTCTCTTTCTTGTTCTTCACATTCCTCCGTTTCTTCTTCACGTCTGTTTCTCCGAGCATCTTTTTCTTCTCTTTCTTTTGTTCCTTCAAGAATCGTTTGCCTTTGCATGCGTTCTTTGGCATGAGCCAACCATATTTTTATAGGAGCTGCTATTTGTTTGTCTGTGGCATTTGTATGAAGTTTTCTTGCTGCACCTAGAAACAATGTTTTAAGTATTACTTATGTGAATAAACTAAAATAACTTTTTTAAATGTTATTGTATTATATGTATAAATTAAAACCTGTACACATTTGATTGTCAAAATATATGTGCAGATCATATATAAATATCGTAATCGTATTTAAAAATATAAACATTTAAAATTGTCTAAGTAAGTGATAAAGTTCTTATACCTATTTGTAAATGTTTTTCAATTTATGAAAAAAGTATGCAGTAATAATAATTAATGGATTTTGAATTTTATTTACTTACTCATAATAACTTTGCATATGTGCAATTTGGAAAAGTTTNGTCTGTGGCATTTGTATGAAGTTTTCTTGCTGCACCTAGAAACAATGTTTTAAGTATTACTTATGTGAATAAACTAAAATAACTTTTTTAAATGTTATTGTATTATATGTATAAATTAAAACCTGTACACATTTGATTGTCAAAATATATGTGCAGATCATATATAAATATCGTAATCGTATTTAAAAATATAAACATTTAAAATTGTCTAAGTAAGTGATAAAGTTCTTATACCTATTTGTAAATGTTTTTCAATTTATGAAAAAAGTATGCAGTAATAATAATTAATGGATTTTGAATTTTATTTACTTACTCATAATAACTTTGCATATGTGCAATTTGGAAAAGTTTACTTTTTTCTTGGCGCCGTACCAACTATAATTTACTGCCAGCTCGTTTGTAAAAATTGTTTTTATTAGACGTACACAAGAAATTCTCAGATCTTGGCAATTAACGTGAGCTAATTGTTTAACCTATAATAGAAAATTAAACTTTAAAACCTTTTATAAAGTACAATTATCATATTTATGTGAAAATACTATAGACATATAGATTTAAAATTTTTGCAACAAAATTATTTGGTAGATTAATATAAAAAAGAGTATCTCTTAAAAGTTTAAGATTAATATAAAAAAAGATATCTCTTGCAAGTTATCAAAATATCTGTAATATATCTTTAATATATTTTATTAATATCTTAATATGAAAAAAATATCTTAATATTAAAATATATTGAAACAAAAATATACAATTTGATTTTGAGATCATTTTTTATAAGATGTTTCATAAAAAAAAAGATATTATTGAAAACTAAAATGCAAGTTTAGCATATATATATATATGAAAAACTAAATATCAAACAAGTTAACATCACTGATATACTTTATTACTCAACATTAATTACAATGTAACACGTTTGTTATGTAACAGTTTAAAATACATTATTTTATTTAACTTACTATCTGATTTTGATACACTAAATCATTAGCTAATTTGATTTCCATTGTTTATAGATTATTTTCATTTTTTAATGACAGATCTTGAAAGATATCTATTATTTCCTTTTTTTCCGTATCCAAAGTTTCGATTGAAACTTTCTGTAGAATGAGTTTTTGACATTTTTCAATTGAATTTAGTTTTAGTTCCAAACTTATGAGTTTTTGAATGACAAATCGTTGAAATGGTTTTTCAGATTCTATAGCAAAATATATTCAACACATTAAAGTTATAATATTTACCATACATACATTTTAGGTATATTCATAATCTCATACGCGTGTGTATACAGGGTGATTCAGAACAACCTGTTATCTTTGAAAATACATATTCTTGACTACATTCTAAGACAACTTTTTATTTGGCAAAATTTTGTCTGACGCTTACTTTTTGAGTTACTAATAAAAATAGTTGACGTACCATGAGTCGGATTTAAAAGGTAGGCAGGGGCGGCGCAACTCACCGTAATTGACAGTGATTTATGTGATGCACGGATTAAATGATACAAATTGCGAATGAGTAAATAAATTAAGTAAGAGAAAAAAAGAGAGAGAGAGAAAGACATAGTCACTTATATAAGTCACTTATTTTTATTAATAACTCAAAAAGTAAGCTTTAGACAAAATTTTGCCAAATAAAAAGTTGTCTTAGAATTTAGTCAAGAATATGTATTTTCAAGGATAACGGGTTGTTCTGGATCACCCTGTATATAT